TCCAGCAAAGTTCCATTTAAATTGTGAAACAATAAAGAGGTGCAGACTTCCAATAAGCGACATAATCCCCACATTTTACCAGCAGGATTGTGTCTTGATGGATGTTTTCCCTGAATCCCTTCCTGCTGACGTGTACATGTGGGGCAGAATATCAGGAAATATCCTTGGAAAGGCTTGGTGTTCTCTTCCATTTCTCTTTCCTATGGGGGTGAGTGTACTTCTGTCAGGGTCATTTATTCTCAAATTAATGATATTTTCCGTAACACTGGGAATGGGTTGTTTGCCCTTCCTTAATTGTTATTTAGTGTAAAAAAATGCAGATCCTGATCTTTATCAATTGACCCTTTTTCTAAAAACAGAGAAAGTTTTATTTAAATGTTAAAAGATACATTTGGTATCTGATTTTTCCCAGACTTTATAGTCTGTTAATATCATTTATATTGATCCTCAGATTATTCCAGATTTGATCAATACAAAAAATATGTATGTCAAGATATAAACAGATAGGTAAATGATAGATGGTTAGATAGATAGGCAGGCAGATAGGCAGGTAGATAAATTTCAACCAAAGGGAGATTTTGCCACTCATGGGAGGTTTGCACTGTCTCCTGACACTTTTCGTTTTCTCAGCTCAGGGCTGAGCAGGTGTGATAGGAAAGTCCTACTGGCATTTAGTGGCTTGAAGCCACAAATGCTGGTAATGCATCAGTTTTTTAGACAGAATTATATCTTCCCAAAAGTCAGTAGAGTTACTGTTGAGAAACCTTCTTGGTTATGTGATGGGAGGATAATTAGGAAACGTCTCTGTGAAAGGTGTATGGGGATTTATGTACTGCCTTTGTACCTCTTTGTCAGTCTGAAATTCTTTCAAAATTTCAAAAAGTTATGAGCTGTTTTGGTCTTTATACCCCTCTTTGCAGTTCAGAGGTAGAAAAGGACTGTCCTTGTTGGGAATATAAATTCAGCTCAGCCATTGTCCTTGATCTTTGGATCCACTGTCTGCGGAGCCAGGAAGGGAAAGGTAGCAGAGAGGCATGTGTTCACATGCTGCTTGCACTGCTAGGCAAATGTACGTGCCTCCTGTCAAAGCCATGTTTAACCAAAGAACCGATGTTCTGCTGAAGCCGTTCTTCAGAACCTGGGGCTGGAACCCCCTGAGAAGGATCCAACCTTCTCTTCCCAGCCCCTCCTCAGCTGTGCCTTATCCTCAGGCTGTACTGTTTCATGTGTACTTACAAGAAATTGTTCTCAGGACTTCATGCCTTTATGCTCTATTCTCCCCACCACACTGTGAGCTCGTCTGGGTTCAGAGAACTACTCATACTCTATATATGTGAAATGTAGTGGCTAAGAAGAGGTCAGGTTCTAGAGACCCATTGGCCGTTTCCCCTCTTACTAGTTGAGCAATTGGTCATGTTATGGAACCTGTTTGTGTGTGCCTCAATTTTCTCAACTATTAAGTGGGGAGAAAAACAGCACCACCTTGTAGAGTTTAAATGAATTAATACTAATACATGTAAATTAATATAACCATGACACATATTGAGATCCTAATAATAGTATTCATTGATTCATTCCATCAATTATTCATCAGTTATTCAGTAGTATTGGGATCATTTCTGCCCTCTGACAGTATTTCCTAACCTTTGTATTAGGAGGAAGTAAATGATACAACCCAATCATCCACGTGCTTACTGCAGTCTTTGTCCCTCAATCTTGCTGTTTCTGTTGCATTGCTTCAACTCAAACACTTAATTGAGAAGCTCCATGTTCTGAAGCAGACACAGGGACTAGGAGTCTTTAATATTCTACATCTCTGTACCTTTCCCGTTTCATCTCATGCTACCCAACTCTCTTCTCCCAGTGTGCCATACATGATCCTATGAGATTATTTATTGTTATTATTTCACTTGCTTTTCCTAAGAGCCTGTGTGTGATAGACACCATGTTTTTTCCTCCATTTACAATTAAGACAACTCAGACTTAGAGAGATGAACTTACATGACTAAGACCACAGAATTAAGGAGTATACCCTTTCCTCCGGATGCCCAGAAACCATGTACTTTGGGAAGAAGAGAAGACCCCTGCTGTCTAGCTGGAAGTATAGTGCTGACCAGGGAGTGGATGCCGTTCTTCTGTTTCACTTCCTTGCACATCACAGAAGTTGGAAGAGACGTGCATTTAGCATTCGTGTGCCAGGGGTTGTGCTACATTCCAGGGACAGAAAAATGGAAATACTTAGTCAGTAAACTCAGTTTATTTAGTGTCTCAAATATACTTTACTGTGTAAAAAAGCAACCCAAAATCTTTATGGGTTGAAGCAGTGATTTAGTGTTCCTCAAGATTGTGTGGGTTTCCTGGGCTCACCAAACCGTTCTCTGCTCCATGTGGTATGAGTTAAAGCCACTCACATGTTTGCTTTCCCCTGGGAGTTTAGCTTCGGCATCCAAGATGGCCTCACTTGCATGTCTTGCAGTTGGTGCTGGATGTTTGCTGGGGGGGGTCTGTTTTCCTCCCATGACTTCTACTCTGGGCCTCTCCCTGTGTGAGCTCACCAGTAGGATTCACCTGGACTTCTGTACATGGCTGTTGCTTCCAATGTAATGAAGACGGAAGCTGCATGGCTTCTCGAGGCCTAGTTATGCAAGTCATATAGAACTTCTTCTGTCACATTTCTTTTTGATTTTGTTTCTTTTTGTTGAGAAGATCTCATTATGTAGCTCAGGCTGGACTTAAACTCTTGATCCTCCTGCCTCAGCCTCCCAAATACAATGATTTCGGGTGGGACCACTATACCTTGCCATTTCTGTCACATTCTATAGACCAAAGCAAGTTACAGAGCAGTTCAGATTCAGAAGGCAGGGAAGACCACTTAGTTCTTGATGTGAGGAGTAGCATAGGAACTCAGAGATGGAGGGATTGTTGTAGCCATATTTGAAAATAACCTATCACTCTCACTGTGCATGTAGCTCTTCAGCAACAAGAACAATGCTTTAGAGCTGAAAGGCTCCTAAACTATCAAATGATTCAACCACCACTGTGGTCGGTATGTTTGTGTCTCCCTCAAACTCATGTGTTGAAGTAGAATGTGGTGGTATGAAGAGGCAGAGCCTGTGGGAGAGGATTAGGTCATGATGGCTCTATCTTCATGTATAGATTATTGCCTTATAAAATAGACCAAATCAAATTTCCCTTCCCCCATGAGAGGACACAGTAAGAAGGTGTAATCTGAACCAGGAACTGGGTCCTCACCAGCAAGAAAATCTCCTGGTGCTTTGATGTTGGACTTCCTGGTCTTCAGAACTCTGAGAAATATATTTCTGTTGTTTATAAGCTATCCAGTCTCTGGTATGTTGTTATGGTAGCACAGGTGGACTAAGGCAAACCTTAGTGTCCACAGATGCAAGAACTAAGACCTGGAATATCAAGTCCTGGCCTAGGCCAATACTCACAGTGCAGAAGCTGGGCTTAGAACCTGGACTTCTTTGGTTAGTGTCATCACTGGCAAATAAAGATGTGTGCTTCCTTTAGCAGAGGATGCCTCTGATAAGTTCCTTTCTGACCCAAGGGTCTCCCTGTAACTTTGGCAAACACAGGTGTACAGAGGGAAGGGTCTGTTTTGCTTTCTTTGGTTTTTGTGCTTAGTACCAGCCTCCCTATTCCTAGGCTAAGCACCAGGCATTTTTATTTGGTGGTTTAACCTAATTGACCAGTATTGACCATGCATGCCTTCCTCATCATTTTTTTCTCTATACATTTGTAGTATGAAATGATACTTGATTTTTCCACATGCATACAAGTAGCTATCTAAAGAGAAGGGAAGGGGAGAAAAGAGGAGGACAAGGGAAGGAGAGGGAAAAGAAAGGAACCTGTCCTTTGAACTCCAGGCATGGAATTTCAAATGTCTACAAATCATGTCCGTTTACAGGACCCATAAACAGCTTAAACTCCCCAAAAGGCCCTCCATCACCATATTTTATAAAATGAAATCCAACCTGCCTAGGTAATGTGTTAGAATAGCCTGTTACATGGCTGTACTTTTCCTAATATCTACGACAACTGTTGCAATCTAAAATGTGCTCCTTGATTTGAAATGGAGCAGGTGATCCATAAATGATTAATTTCCCTCAGTATAATCACAAACCTGAAGATAATTAAGAGGTTCCATTTCCCCAGATCATTAGGATGCTGTTTTGGATTATTTCCAGGCTGCTGGGTGGAGGACAGATGCATATTTTGCAATGAAGACAATATCTGTTATTAAATCGAGTTCTGGGATTCCCTTAACCGTCGTAAGGACAGCTAACTCTTCTTGAGGGTTAAGGTAAATAAGGAGTATAATTCTTACATTTAGGACTCCTTCAAGGTCATAAATTTCCAAAGATGAAGTAGCAGAGATGCTCTCCAGAAAAAAATTTTCACTTGATTCCTGTTGTACTGAGTAAATTATTGACTGAATGAAACTTAGTTTTTATTCTAACAGCATTTACAATTTTTGCAGATTAAAAAATATTCTTATTATGGGAAACTTAGAAAAAACAGCACACAAAGAATGATTATACATCACTCATAATCTCACCTTTTGGTTAAAACCATTGTTAAGGGCTGGGGCTGTATCTTAGTGGTACAGTACTTGCCTACTATACACAAGGCCCTGAGTGTGATCTCTTTTATTTTTTTAATAAAAAATAAAAAAAACCCAAGCCCACTGTTAACAGTTTTAATATACGTTCTACACATAAGATACAGCAAAAAATCTATATATTACTATATGTGTGTATACAGCTATACACACATATAAATAAAATACTATATCATATGTGTTATGTATGTATATAGAGAGATGTAGGTATATATAGTTGTTTCTCTTTTTTTAAATGAGATCATATATAAAGTAATTTTGCAGCCATATTTTTATGTGATTTTTTTTGTCTAAATATAGCATAACCATGTTTCCATGTCTACCACACAGGAAAAGTAAATCTTTTCTGTTTTGACAGGACAGCGATCTTGAAGCATTGGTCAGGTGTTTGGAAAACGTCATGGATTGTACCTCTCTAGGTGAGTCAGTTTCTTCAGATTCCAAGCTTACAGTAACACTTAATGGTTCTATTGGAATATCTAAGAAGTAGAAAGATAGAGGGGATCTTTCAGATATTTTGCTTAACCTTCCTGTTTTATGAAAGAGTAAAGTGAGCCCAATAGAGGCTGAATGCCAAGCTCAAGAGCCAGCAAACTGAGGCATAATTGCTTGGTACTATTTTTGCACGTGAACGTCATCTCCAAAGGTGAGATAATTGAAATTTGGTGGTCCTTTGTGATCACATGGTGGCGCGGAAGCACATGGTAACAGATTTATAGTCCCTAAAAAAGACCCTCCACCTGAGTTGTTCTGTGGAAGCAGATTGCATTCGGTCAGGCTGAAAGCGCCATCACTCTGAAGGTCAGTCAGTTATTGCGAGGGATTTGGTCTAAAAAAACAAAGTTGAAATTTCTTTAGCATCATCAGTCTCGATAAATAGGATTGCTGTGCTTCAAGGAGAAAACCCTATTTCTTAGCTTCTTCTATTTTTTTTAATATAAAAGGTCCAACCATGATAACTTCTAGCACTAGACAATAAATTTTCACATGGAGTAGTCTTAAAGGTCCTAATGAAAAGGATTGAGATCTTTTTCTTTCAAATTTGACTGAGTTTTTAATTTAGGAATCATAAATGTATAACCAAAAGCAATCCCTTCAAAGGAATAAGGATGAACAATGATGTTGTCATGTAGGAGAACAGTCACTACCATTTTATTTGGAACTTTGCACAATTTATAGATTTTTTCTAGCTTATACCACATCTCCATGTGGAAAGTTATAGTCATAACACAGCTCTTTGATTTTTCTCTCCTGTGACTTGGTTAACTGCATGTCAGTAACGTTGATTAAGTACATTTAACTCCTAAAAATGGTCTAGAAGACTAAGGAGGCTTTTCTCTGACCAGGTACTTTCCCTGTCTGGATCTCAGATTAGATCAGTAATTTTCAAAGTACACCTCTGGGACTTCCAGGATCGGGCAAGGGGATGTGGACTGAGCAGTACTGGGTCAGAGCTCTATCTCCTTTTCTTTTTTTTTTTTTGAGACAGAGTCTCACTAGCTATGTAGCCTAGACTGGCCTTGAACTCACTTTATATCTGAGGCTGGCCTTAACTCATGAACCTCCTGCCTCAGCCTCCTGAGTGCTGAGATTACAGGTATGTACCACCAGGCCCAGCCTCAGAAACTGTATCTTTAGTCCTCCTGCCTGCTTTTCACAGTCTAAAACTGTACCTGGTTCAGAAAAGGTCCTTAACAAATATTTTAAAATATTTAAGGAGCAATTAGATATAGACCTTCATTTACCAGCTGCAACCAAAACAGTTTCCTACCTAATTTATAAATAGGATTTCTACATAAAATTATGTTCTGTAAAAGATATATTCCACTACAAAAATTAAATAACACTGAATTGGATTGATGATATCTGTATGATTTTATAGAAATGACCATTAGAAACATGGAGTAACAATACATATTTATCTATGACCGAGTCTCACTAATATGACAGTAAAGAAATAAACCTACAGGAAGAAAGGGAATGGAAGAAATCTGCAAGAAAATTTGAGAAGATAGTAAGCAGATGGGTGAGTGGTAACTGATTGAGAAAACAAAGAAATCTGAAAGTTAAGTGTCTAAGACATGTATGGGAAAAAAGGGGAGGGTAAGAGGCAGACTAGGAAAAGCAAGCTAAGCGAACCTACAGAACCTCAGAAAGACTCAGGATTTGAAAGCCACAGCTATATCTGAAGGATGTGGATATAATAGGAGGATTGGTTGAGAGTATGAATAGGGGTGATAGACCCCAGGTGCCTTTCCCTCCACTGGTACCACCAGGGGATTCCTTCCTACAGATAAGGCAGAAAACACTGGATTTGATTGGGGGAATATTAAATGAAGGATGCTCTGGATTTAGGGACAAGAAAGGCAGGATATGATAAAAACAGAAGGGTGAAGTGGAAGTCTGCATTTAAATGATGAAATCTCCAGTTACCACCTTTACTTTGCTTCTGAAGTACTGGCAGAACAGCATGGATCCTGTCAGAACATGTCTCTGTGAGAGTATCCTCCCTGCCATTAGTTAACAGCCTAAGAATCCCGTGGATATGGATGTTCTCCCAACAAAGTGGCAGGGATGAGCCCGACCAGTTGACACTTCCATTCCACCGAAAGAGCTTAAGTTGTCTTTTAATGTTTGACACTTAGATAAGAACATACCATCAAATGGCAGCTGACACACGAGCAAGCCTAACATAAAAGGAGAGAAATCAAAACAAAAACATTTAAAGGATACAGGAAACAAACAATGTAAGGAAGAATAAAATGTAAAAGATAGGATTAGAATCTTAAAGGATATCAGAGAAGATATTACCTCCAACTAACAAATAAAAAGAATATTTGGAAAATAAGAAAGAGCTCTTGAAATTATAATTTTAATAGCAGAAATAAAAAATTCAGTAGAAGGTTTGGGAAGATAAAGCTGAAGAGAATTTCCAGAATAAAATAAATAATAAGATGACAAAATGATCCATCTAGATAGTTCAGCATCTAATTAGTAGAAATTCTGAGGAAGAACAGAAAAAGAAGAAACCAATCAAAGAAATAAGAAAAATATCCAGAGAAAATAAGACAGGTCTTATTTTTCAGCAATATTAAAAGCTAGAAGATAAAGTTTGAAGCTAGAATTTTTATCTATCCAAACCACCAATCAAGTGTGAGAGACTTTTTAATCTATATAAACCATCACCAATCAAGTGTGAGAGGAATAAAGACATTTTCTCATCTCAAAATGAAGTGTCAAAAATATCTACCTCCCATGACTTTTCCTAGAGGTTAAACTCCATCAAAAGATAGAGGAGTAAATCAAGAAGAAGGAAGACATAGACTTCAGGTGATGGGGGACCCAACATAGGAGAGAGGAGAAGAGGATTCCCAGGGTAATAGTAAAGGAAGGTCCCTTGATGATAGCTGAGCAACAGCTCTAGAGAACAATCCATTCGCACTGGACTGGGCCAGAGGTCTCCCAGCCTGAATGGACATATTCTGAGGAGGAATGGAACTAATACATGGCTAGCTTTCAGCTCATTTGAAGAGTTTAGGGATTAATTAGAGAGAGGTAATTAGAAAACTAAGCAATGGAAAACACTAAGGCAATTATTAACTGCTGGGAAAACAAAGAGAGAGGAAATAGAATCTGCATACATTAAGGGCTTTGTGTGTATAATATTTACATAGTCATAATAATTTAAACATTTAATTATTTAATTATTGTGATATAACTACATTGGAAAGATGTATGGAGGAAGAGAAAGGGGTTGAGGGGAGAGAGATTGAGATTAACAGAGACAGGAAAAAAAGAGCAAAAATTCAAATTCTCTATGCAAATTCAGAAGTTCATGAATTGTGTAAAATAGAAAAATTTAAAAATAACTGTGTAAACATGTAATATGGAAAAATAAAGGTAAATACCAAAAAAAATTAAAGAGTTGAATACAGCTGACTTTGGTGAGTGGAACTTGAAGGTTAGGTAGGAAGCTGCTTTCCTTTTTTTTCAGGCTAGCCTTGATTTTAAAAAGTGGCACATACATGAATTCTTAGATTATAAGTGAATTTTTGGCCTGGGAGTAGTGGCACATACCTATAATCCTAGCTACTTAGGAGGCAGAGACAAGAAGCTCTGCCCCCTCCCTCTCCCCCCTACCCTCTCAATACCCAGCAGAAACTATTTTGCCCTTATTTCTAATTTTGTTGTAGAGAGAGTATAAGCCATAATAGGAAGGAACAAGGATTTTTGCTGGTTGAGATAAGGATAGCTATACAGGGAGTTGACTCACATTAATTTCCTGTGCATGTGTGTTACCTTCTAGGTTAATTCTTTTTGATCTCACCTTTTCTCTAGTTCCTGGTCCCCTTTTCCTATTGGCCTCAGTTGCTTTTAAGGTATCTGCTTTAGTTTCTCTGCGTTAAGGGCAACAAATGCTAGCTAATTTTTTAGGTGTCTTACCTATCAAAGTCCAATCCACTTGTTGTGTTTGCCCTTGATCTAATGTCCACATATGAGGGAGAACATACGATTTTTGGTCTTTTGGGCCAGGCTAACCTCACTCAGAATGATGTTCTTTGAGCACATGATAAAAGCTTTAGCACACAAGGGAGGGGTGAGGATAGGTAAGAAGGGGACTAGGAACTAGAGAAAAGGTTAGATCAAAAAGAATTAACCTAGAAGGTAACACCCACGCACAGGAAATCAATGTGAGTCAACTCCCTGTATAGCTATCCTTATCTCAACCAGCAAAAACACTTGTTCCTTCCTATTATTGCTTATACTCTCTCTACAACAAAATTAGAGATAAGGGCAAAATAGTTTCTGCTGGGTATTGAGGGGGTGGGGGGGAGAGGGAGGGGGTGGAGTGGGTGGTAAGGGAGGGGGTGGGGGCAGGGGGGAGAAATGAACCAAGCCTTGTATGCACATATGAATAATAAAAGAAAAAAGAAAAAAAAAATAAATAAAATAAAATTAGAATCTGCAGGAAAAAAAAAAAAAAGATAGCTATACAGGGAGTTGACTCACATTAATTTCCTGTGTGTGGGTGTTACCTTCTAGGTTATTTCTTCTTGATGTAACCTTTTCTGTAGTTCCTGGTCCCCTTTTCCTATTGGCCTCAGTTGCTTTTAAGGTATCTGCTTTAGTTTCTCTGCATTAAGGGCAACAAATGCTAGCTAATTTTTTAGGTGTCTTACCTATTCTCACCCCTCCCTTGTATGCTCTCACTTTTATCATGTGCTCAAAGTCCAATCCCCTTGTTGTGTTTGCCCTTGATCTAATGTCCGCATATGAGGGAGAAGCATACGATTTTGTGTCTTTTGGGCCAGGCTACCCTCACTCAGAATGATGTTCTTCCAATTCCATCCATTTACCAGCGAATGATAACATTTCGTCTTCCTTGCTTCATGGACTGCATAAATTCACCGATTGTGTA